AAAAAAAAAAAGGAGGGGGGTGGGGAGATGTAGTATTTTAATTTCAATAAACCCTCTTCAAATCTTTTACAAATACACATATACATTCGCCATAAAATTATCAAAGTGTTTTTTACACATTAATATTCTAATCCGGAAGCCTAAGAGATATGACAGGACATTCATTTGCATACATTTGCCAAGAAAACGTTAAGTTCTCCTACCCAAGGGCCAGTAGAAGAACCTAGCCAGGATCTTCCACATGGATTTTCCCTCACCGACCCTTATTCCACACCTCAGTAATGTTTCTATCTCAGAGTGACCATTATTTCTTCTACAACTTACAACTGTATAATCATTTCACTGACCACCCAAACTTCACTAAGTAAAAGTGGGATGTAGTACGTTCCCTAAGACACAAGATGGCACAAAATATATCTTTATTAAATTATCTTCATTTTTAATAACTCACGTGCATTTATTTAGTTAACACACACTGAATAAATATATAGGCTACCTTTTTGTTCAAAGAAAAGACTACTAGCTTCCCATCAAAACAGTATGTGTTTCGATGATACTAATGGAACAAACGATCTATCTGTATTGTTTTACCCTGCCTCCTCTGTAACCAGTAACACACATGTCTGAAATGCCTGGGTCAGGTGAAGAGAGTGTTCTGTAGCCAAGGAATGAGAGAAAAATGAGGTGTAACAGCCTCCACGTTCAATAACGGTCGCTCAGTCCTGAAAATTTTATCTCAAATCTGTTCTTGTTTCCATCATCCATCTGACCATAATCCTAATCCAATTCATCACACCTGATGTGTCCCTGCCCCTAATCCTCACTTTAAATCCACCCTCCACGGGCCGTGCAGGACATCCACCCAGAATGCCGAGTCCTCTGAATGGTCCTCCTTCATGTCCAAGGTCCTAAGGATTTGAGCTCTATCTGTTGATCCCCACGCCCTTCTCATTTTCTGCTCTGTGTCGATGTGCATTCCCGCCCCCCCGCCCCGCACGATGCCAGTCCACACTCCACATGTTGTGCCACAGGCAGGACCTTCCATATCTTTCTTCTGGTGAACTCTACTTCCTGGAGTTGCCTTCACATGGAACAGTTTCCAATCTTTCTTAACCGGATTTTACTATAACTCATAAATCTATCCTCACTTCAGGCATCCTGTTCTCCAGAAAATCTTCTCTGAACCCCTAAATGCACTGAGAAGCTTTATTTATGCTCTCATGCCTTCCAATGCTTAGAACTTAACATGTTATACTTAGATGTTCATGGATCTGTCATGCCACCTACTCTTAAGCTTCTTTTTTAATTTTTTTAAGTGTTTTTTTATTTTTGAGAGACAGAGAGAGAGACGGAGCATGAGTGGGGGAGGGGCCGAGAGATGGGGAGACACAGAATCCGAAGCAGGCTCCAGGCTCCGAGCTGTCAGCACAGAGTCCAATGCGGGGCTCAAATTCACGAACTGTGAGATCGTGACCTGAGCAGAAGTCAGACGCTTAACCGACTGAGCCACGCACGTACCCCGTATTCTAAAGCTTCTTAAGAAAATTGACATTTTATTCATTCCCGTGTGTCTTGCACGTAACACAATGCCAAGTGCCAGGGAGACAGTCAATACATGTTTATTTTAAACCAATCTTTCTGCCTATTCCCAGGCCACCATGCGTGTAGCTAAAAATTCACAACCAGAATCAGGGGTTGTAGTTCAAATTTATATGACCAGTGCCACTAAGTGCCTTTCACTTTCCTACCCCTTTTTTCTCCCAATTTCCCAAATTACTATTTCAAAACCTTCCATCTCTTCCCAAATCTCCTTCCCTCCCCCACCCTCCTTTGCAGCTGAAGACCTTGTTTTCTATTTTTTTTTTTTTTTTTT